CAGCTAGAAGCCCTCAAATATGTAGATGAAGGTGTGAAAGATGAGGAATGTTACCAGGTGGCTATGGATGCCTTGCGAGAAGCTGCACATAAAGTTGCTATTGCTAAGAAAACTGATGGGGGAGTTTCTAATTCTAGTGGAACTTGCAAAGGAGAGTCTGCCACTCAGGAGAGCCATGTAAATAATCCCTTCGAGGCTCGTCAATTGGGTAGGTGTCCTTCAACACCCGTGGTAAGTTGTCTTTGATCTATCTTTTATTTCAGATTTTCTTCACCAACATTTGTTTGTTTGCTGATATTCTGTAGTTCTTGTTTTTTAAGATTGAGTGGATTCATTTTTGTCGGTTGCCTTCCGTCTTACAATGATTGCTCAGATCAGTTCTCAAGTCAAATAAAATTATACATCTGCTTAGATGAATTCTGGGAAGAGAACAACTTGATCTCCGACAAAAGGGAAATAAAGGAACTTATTATTAGGTCCTGTTCCCGTACCCAGAATAACTTCTTTCTATCTGATTGAAGTAAACAGTGGACTCACTTTTTAGATACCTTCTCTGATTTGTCAATTGCAATTAAAAGTTTAAATAAATGTGTTTTCAACTATAATTGCTGATCCTGTCATAAGATTTCTAGTTTGAATTTGACCAGTGCTTACATTTTTAGCTTGTTTTATGCCTTTGGATATCTTTCTCTGCGTTGGCTTAACATACTCCTCTGTTTTTTGGAACTTCACAAATTTTTCTGCATGTTATTATTATCATTTTATTGTAAGTAATCTGCACCTGTAACTATTAGTTATCTTGACTCGTTACTCTAAGTTGAAACATTCTAGCCTTGAGGGAGTATCTGTTGGATCATTTGTGGTATTGTTGACTTCAAATTTGATGTTTTTTATAAATTTATTTTCAGTCTGCAGATTGCTCTTTCTTTTCTCTCTGGGTTCTTCTACTTGAACAATGTTGTCTGCACTCATTATGAATTGGATAAGATGTTCACCCAACTCTAAATACCCGTTCTTTCTTTACCAAAGAACGTGGGAAAATTGGGTCCCTATATAATCCAATTGTGTAATTCATTCTCTTTATATCGACTATGTGAAACTGCTCGAGGATTCTTGACTCATCTATTGATTTCCTTGTAGGATGAGCAGGACAAGAAAATACAGAAACTTACACGGAAGCTGGAACGTGCAAGACAAAAATGTGAATTATATCGGACTAACTTATTGACAGTCTTGAAAGATATTGAGCAACTGAAGCTTCAGTTAACAGTTAAAGTTCAGAGTATTAAGTTAGGCATGAAAAATTAAGATTGTCTGTGTCGTGCATTTGAATGAATCTGCAATCCACGACGTATGTCTCACATCAGTGTGAGATATAGTTTTAGTTTCTGGTTATTATCGAGATATGGTCTAGACTCTAGAGGGCAAGTTCAAGGAACAACAGGGGAGGGGGAAGAGTACTATTGTATGTGAGAAAACCCTTTGAAGTCCTCCCCCACTTTCCAAACCTTGGTTTTAACTGCCTTGCATCAATTTCTAGATAGTATGAGCAGTTAACTACACTACAGATTAACTAGACAAAATCTTGTCAACTTGTTAGCAGTGATTCGTTCCATTGGAGCAGCCAACTATTTTGATAACTTGGGCACTGGATCTTTTTCTAACTCATTGCAGCCTGAATCTTTAGTGGAAAAGTTGCAATCTGATCCAAACTCGGATAACTTCCCCAATTGTTCAATCAAAATCCAGCAAGAAGGCGCCGTCCTGTTCCATTGCAAGGTTCTGTTGTTTACTAATTACGTACAATATAGTAAATACATTTTGATTTTTTCAGTTCATAGTATTATTGATGATCGTGTGGATAGCAGTTCAGCATTGTAATGCGATAGAGGTTGCAGGAGCTTAGAAGTGTCGCTCAGGTTTGCGTTAGGGAATTAGGCATCCGAGATAACCAACACCAACAAATACAGTAGGATCTGTATTTTGATCGTCGAGATGAATTTACAAAACTAGTTATGCACATATTGTTAGTATTCATTATTTGCTACTTTGTTGGACGTGTGTTCTATTTTTTTCATATTTAATTGAATATCCATGACTAATTAACTTTATATGTTGAGTAAATTCCATTTATCCTCCTTACTTTAAGAAGCAATACTCCCGTCACCTTTCACTTGAGACAGAAAACTTCCTTGATCTTAAATCGACGCACAACATGAGCCAGTCATCCCTGGTATTCAAAAGGTAAAAAATGTCCTTCCAACTATGGATTATAATAAAAAAGTTTACAAAATGAGGGGAAAAATCAGTTATATTGTGTTAAAATGAGTAAAAATTTCATCCATAATCTTTGAAGGTAACGAAACAATACTCTGTTCATCCTTTGCATGAAACAGAAAATCCCTTTGAGTTAACATTTTCTGTTGATTTTAAAATGTTTAGATTTATGTTCATAGCACTGATGAGCTATACTAGCATTTGATATTTTTGAGTATCCAGACTAAGATTTACATAAGAATGGCCTGAATTATTTTTCAAAATTTTTACATTACATTGACAGTTAAATTTTCTTCTATAGTAGCATTAATACAGGCAACCAAAATGGATCAAATTATATTTAAAAAATGGACGAAAATAATCCATGTCGCAAATGAAGCTATGAAGATTAGAAAATTAAACGAGGAAAAAGAGGTGTTGAATTATAATTTTTATACATTAGTATAGTGTATATTTAATTTTAATTATTGAAAAACCTACTTATTATTAACAACTTGTGTTTGGCCACTCTTTCCAAAAAGTGATTTTGAGTGTCAAATTACAAAAAAAACAGTATTAAGATACATTTTGAAATTCCACTATTTAAATAAAGAAGTAATTTTAAATATTGTTTTGAAAGACTTAAATTAAAACTTTATCTTTATTTAGTTAAAATGTAAAACGTAAAAAAAAAAATACTACATCAAGACTTTTAATCAATTTAAATGCAGTATAAAGCCCAAAAAAAAAAAGTTAAAGGAGAAAAGGGTTTATTTATATTTGAAAAATAGGTGAAAACCATTACACCCCCCAACTTTGCTTTAAAAATCAAACTCCCCCCTCTACTTTGAATAATTATCATTCTTCCCCCTTTATCATTATATGCTATTTTATGATTTTACCTATAATTAAATTATGTTATACTTTTATTACAAAATGGTAATATATATTTATTAAAATTATAAATAGAATAGTGATTTTATAAGTTTGTGATAAAATTAAATCTACATATTTTATGATTTTTATTTTAATATAACGCGCATTATGTATATATTTATTTACATTTTTCAGTAATAAACAGATAATCTTTTAGGAGTTTGTTATAAAATCTGCGTTTACTTTTAATAATTATTAAATTTCATGTAACTGCATTGAGTATATACTTATAAGATTCTCATTATTTTTTATTTTCGATTGTGTAAATAGATTTTTAAAATTTCTATTAATAAAACTGTTGATAAGAGCAAATTATCTTATATTAAATTTTATTCTACTCATCCTTTTTATTATTCAATGTCATTGATTATATATTTGATTATTATTTTTTATTTTAAAAATAAAATTTAGTTATATATAGGTAAGTTCATAGTATAGATATTAGAGATGAAAAATATCATGATACTATAAAAAAAATAGAAAGAGATAAATATTGATAATATAGAGGTTAAAATAGGCATTTTAAAATTCAATCAAGAAACCAGTGGAAGAATGATAATTGTTCAAAATAGAAGGGGAGTTTGATTTTTTAAAGCAAAGTTCGAGGGTGTAAATGATTTTCACTCTTTGAAAATATATGGGTTAAATGAGAGAGTTTGGTAAATATAAAGTTCTTATAAGGTTATTTTTATCTTGAAAGAATTAATTTTCTCTTTTGACTTTTTGGAAGAAGTTGAAATTTGTATCTTTTTCCCAATAGTAAAAAACTACTTCTGCTACTGGTCAAATTTTTTTTTCGGGCCAAAAACCTCAAATACCCAGAACTGTTTATCTGAAGAAGAAAAAAAAAGTGCTTTTGACTTCCTATAACCTTGGCCGAACCGGCTATATTGTAGTGATTAATTAGTGATATTCTCTTTCCTAATGTTATAAGGATAATTACCATATTTAAAAAAAGACCCAACTCATGTTACTATAAGTTAAACTACGTCGCGCCTTTTCTTTTCCTAAGTCAAAACGATTTTGGTTTCTAAACTAATGAAATGTTAAACCATTTTCCATATAATATTAGGATTAGTATGTGTATAAAAAGAGTTCCAACGCCACTTGCTCAAATAATCATCCTTGACAATTTGTTATTTGACCAAGAGAGAAGTTCTAATACTCTGCTTAGTTAATATTCATGATGAAGTGTCAAAAACCTCGTGGAAAACCTTGTAAGGGGCTGAAAAATAAAGATGGAACTATTACTGGACATCTAGGGTTTTGTCCTAAATATATTCCTAGGAAATCTAGGACAAAAACAACCGTAAAAAACATTGTGAAGAAGGATCAAAAGTTTAATCCATCAACTACTCGGATTTGCTACAAGAAGGATACTACTACAAAGAGAAAAGAGAATAAATCGAATGGTGTACAAAAGCCAAACATTTATTACTGTAAACCAATTTCAGAATACGTGATTCCAGGACCTATTCCTGATCTTGATGCATTGATGTGGGATGAAGATATGTTTATCAGTTTTTGGGATAATATTCCAGACTTGGATATATATGATGTATAGACAGAGGCAGATTTACCATATACATATTAGTTTTGCATGTGCATACCTTGTATAATTAGAGGCGGATTAATTACTATGTACACTTAATGTTGAGTTTGATTTATTGAGTTTGTATGCCGGTTGTTTTATTTTAAATTCTAAATTCGTCGTGACTGAATGTAATCTTTGAATTTATTGAAAGCATGAAGCTATTTTGGAGACATTTCATCGGACTAGATAAAAGTACCATCCCACGTGCCAAACGTATCTTGCAATGGAGCTAAGACATCTTAAACGTGTTGGGTTGATACATAATTCACCCTAAACTTACACCGAATTTACAGTTACACACTTAAACTTTGTGAGTGAACAAATCCATTCTTGTACTTTTTCAAAGTACTTTAAAAAAGATACAAACGAAAAAGAGTGATCCTGGAAACCAACATGCGTAAGGTTACGATAAACAAAGGTTCTAAACATTTCACATATCGCAGTTCAGCATCGTAGCCGGAGCCAGCCAGGCCATTTTCTGTGGGATTTCCTTCTCTTAATCCTACTCATGTTAGTACTTTGTTCTTTCTTTTTTGTCAAAGATCCTTCAATTGACAAGTCTTTTTCCTGCAGAGCAACAATTTGGTACGCAGTTATAGTTATGCATGTTTCAATTAAGAGTTTAAGTTCTAAGTATTGGCGGTGAATAATTAAGTTATAAACACCATGTGTAAATTGACCTACAACAACAAATTAATCTTCATATGATAGCTTAGAAGATTAACTTGTTATACACAACCCTTCTATGTTTATCTCGTGGAAGTCCTATTAATTAAACAGGATAAATGCTACCAGTAGTATGTATATTCTATAAGACACAAATGATCAATATACATATTATTAACATGATAAGTTTTTCAATTGTGCAACTCACTAATTACTAAATAATCATTAAGAAGTGATGGACTGCAAAATCGTTAATTGACACATGCATAACAAGCTTATATTATTAAATTTCATGAAACGTGCGATAACTAGCTAGTTGTAGTATATCAAATTTTTTTTTACCTCAACTGCAACTGCAAGAGGGTCTTTGATCTTCTCATGGAGATTTGCTTTTTCGTCCTCGTCCTGACCTGTAAGTACTGTAGACGTAACTGAAGTATGCCCTGACTTATCAGAGAAAGAAAGTGGACCTGTTGATGAGCTCGACCTTGACAAGTTCCCTTCATCCATATCTTGGCTTATCTGGCTTAACTGCAATAGAAAAGCAAATATTTTTTGTGCATACAACTTAAAACTACTTTTTTAAAAACTTGTGCAAAAATACTTTTGACATTATCGTTATATAAAAGATAACTACAGGGCCCAAAAAAAACAAATGGATTAAATTAATTGAGTGTGTAAAAAATCATTTTACTGCCGGTAAATGTTACTAAATTTTTATTAAACCTGCAAAACTCGAGTCTCAAGGACGGAAAGTCGCTCCATGAGTGTGCCTTTGTGATGAACTTGTTCCAGAGCAGAGGACAGAGTCAGAGTCTTGCACTGATCCTCTAATTGTACTTCCGCTTTCTTATTGGGAGAATGTCTTCTTCCTGAAATGCCATGTTTCTCTTCCAGAAGCTGCAGCTGCATCTCCACGATTTTACAGTTAGCTATCCACGGTTTCGCAGTTAGTTATCAAAATTTAATTTACCCTTTTTATAGCAAAACAAATGTAATGACATTACACAAGTTTTTTTAAAGAAGATTAATTGTTTCTTTCTTTAACTCCGTACTTAGCTAAAAACTATGTTAATTTGCTATCTAGTGGAGGAGGAGGAGGGGGAAAGACTCACGAGATGATCAAGTCGATCTAACCGTGGAAGAGTAGGCAAGGAAGAAGCCAAGTATTGATTTTCTTGCTGGATCATGATGCGTCGTAACAAACAAGGGCCTTATTTTTCTCTACTGCTATAATGTATGCTATATATGAATAGTAGTACAAATTTTATGAATATATAGTGTTTCTATATGCCAATATTATTGAGTATTTATCAAGTCACCCTTTCTTGCGTATAAAAGAAGAGAGAGAATGCAGAAATGGACACACAGCTTCTGGAATCTGAACAGTGATAGCTAAGCTAGCTAGCTAGTTTTCAATGAAGTTGAAAAAGCAGTTGGTGATACTTTATAGTGGTAGAAGCCAATTAACAATGGGGACGTGGGGGTATTAAATGACAACCAACAAGCCATACCCTTTTGTCATCTTCCTGATTCATTGCTCTTCAACTTGCAGATTTTTTAATTTTTAATTCTCATCTTATCATGAGCTATATCTCATATCTATCATTCTATCTCAACGACTTGCCTGTTTTCTTTTCCTTTTCGCTTGCTTCCTGCCCTTTCTGCGTGAACAATTATATCTTGACAAGTCAAAGTTTGTCGCATTGTGTAAGCATAGTCACGCTGTGAAAAATTGCCCGCATTTCTCCTTCGCCGGCAAGTGGTTAGCTAGCTTGGGGTAACCTTGTTAAAAATCAATAATTTAGGTAAGAGTAAGTATTACGTGACAAATAATGACACATAAGTACGGTTGCATCTTACAATAATAATAACATGAGCTATTAGTAATAATTTTTTTCCGCCCAGGCTCAATTATTTTTTTTCCATAACAAAAATAATTTTTTAAAATTATTATGAATATACTGATCGATTTCGGTCGGTATTAGTGGTCAAAAATGGTCAACCAATTATAAATTATTGTTATTTTCAATATATATATATTTAACAATATAAATTGTACATATAATACACACACACACACACACACACACACACATATATATATATATACATATATACACAACGACTTTATCAAGTAGACTCGATCAATGTTGAGAAGAAATCATTAATGGCAGGTGGTCTCTCTCATGAAGAAGAAGAGGGAAGGAAACTTCTAGGTTTTCAGACAAATGAAACCGTTTCAGATACTTCTAAGTCAAAGACATATTTGGACTCCTCTCATTTGGTTTCTCCACGTGGCCTCATCTCAACGGTTGTGCAAAGATATGATAGATTAAATAATGGCCATTCAGATGAGCAGCACCACAACTTATTTCACAATTGCACAACATTGGATCCCAATCTTAAAAATTTATCACATGAAACGTGTACATAGCAGAGAGAATATTTTTCAGTTAATTTTGTTATTAGCTTGCAAATAGGATTTAGACACCTGTATAGATGGTTACTTTGATTCTTTTATTTTTCATAGAATAGTTCTATATATACATTGTCTCTGTACAAAATGAATACACAGAAAATTTCTACAAGATTGTTTCATTTCTTTTTCAGTCTTTCATGGTATCAGAGCAGTAGCTCGTTTCTGTAAAAATCAGCTTCTTCTTTCAGCTTCTTCTTCCTCCTTTTGTGTCATAACACCTCATCATGACTGGAACAACAGACACCATTGTTGCTCAGTTTTCATCTGCTAATGCAGTCAATTTCGATGTAAATCACCCATACTTTCTCCATTTATCAGATGCACTAGGAATGAGTCTTATGAATGCAGTGTTTGATGGAAGAGGTTTTCAAGGCTGGAGGAGATCAGTTTTGATTGCTCTCTCAGCAAAGAACAAGTTAGTCTTCATTGATGGAAAATGCCATGCTCCTGCTATCACTTCCAAGTATCATCCATGGACAAGGTATAATGATATGGTGACCCCCTGGTTGCTAAATTCATTGTCCAAAGACATTGGGGATAGTGTCATATATTTCAAATCTGCCAAAGACCTCTGGACCAGTCTTGAGCACAGGTTTGGAAGGTCAAATAGAGCTAAGTTGTACCACCTGCGCAAAGAACTATCCAGTTTAGTACAGAGAACTAGTGGCATAGTAGGGTACTTTACAAAACTCAAACGTCTATGGGATAAATTAGACTCTTTAATTTGTGATGTTAAGTGTGTTTGTGTTTGTGTGTGTTCTGGAAAACAAAAACTGGAGAAATCCCTAAAAGATAAAAGGCTTATACAATTTCTCATGGGTTTGAATGGTGTTTATGGATAGGCAAGGGGAAATATTTTGATGATAAACCCTTTACCTAGCATAGACCATGCCTATTCTCTTGTTAACAAGATGAAAGTCAGAGAAAGATCTATATGAATCCTCTTCTCTCTGCTGATTTTTCATCTTTCATGGTAGGCACTCAAGCTAACCTTGCAGCACAAGGGAATTTTGTGCAAAGGAACAACAAACAGAGCCAAAGAAACACTGGACAATTTCAGCAATCCCAGAAATCAGGGAACAACATGCAATTCCAAAGATCAGGAAACAATATGCAGAAAACTGGAAGCACACCACAAAGAAATTTTGTTTCAAAAGGAAAGAAGCACAAGTTCAATCCTAATCCATCTTGCACCCATTGCAAGAAAATTGGACATTCGGTGGGAGATTGCTATAGAATCATTGGTTTTCCTGAAGATTTTGAATTCACTAATCCTAGAGGTTCTCAAGTTCAATTCAGAAGCAATGGAGTTATCACAGGGGAACAGGGAGAGGATGCAAACAACTACACTGAAGTTCTAAATCAGCACCTTTCCAAGGATCAATTTTCACAGTTGGTCCAGATGATAAAGCAAGTGAAGGTTCTAGATACATAGAGTTTTAATTCAGAAATAAATACAAATGCAGTAGCTGGTACTATTATGAAATACACTGGAAGTGTTTTTTAATTTTTAACACTAACACCTGGATAATTGATTCAGGAGATTCAGAGCATATGTGTTTTGATTCAAATGCTTTTATTTCTTTAAAACCCCTTCCATTTCCCTCATATATAAATCTGCCCAACTCTTTTAAGGTGTCAGTCACACATACTGGGAGAATTCCTATTTCTGTTGATTTTATTTTATAAAAAGTTCTTCATGTTCCCAGTTTCAAATATAACCTATTATCAGTCAATAGGTTCTGTGTTCAGTTTTACTACATAATCTTATTCACTGATAATCTATGTCGCTTGCAGGCCCCTTTAATGAAGATGGCTCAAGTTTTTGGTGAAGAAAGAGAAGGATTATATATGTTGCAGCCTAATGTTGATACGATTAACTCAAAGGAGAAAAGCTTTTTATCTTCAAATCAAAGTGTTTTTAGTCAAGTTTTAGTTGTTTTTCCTTTTTCTGCAAATGCAGCTTCTGATGTAAACCTTTGGCACATTAGATTGGGACATTTGCCTTTTTTATCAATGAAGCATCTCAGTTTTATTTTACTCCCTTCTAATTCTGAATGTTTATGTGATATTTGTCCTAAAGCTAGGCAAACTAGGATTCCTTTTGCTTTGAGTCAAATTACTTCCAAAAGAGCATTTGAATTAATTCATGTTGATACGTGGGGACCCTATAAGGAACCTACTTATAATGGATTTAAGTACTTCTTGACTATTGTGGATGATTTTAGCAGAGACATTTGGACTTTCCTGTTAAGCACAAAATCTAATGCCTTTTCAGTTTTGAAGGACTTTCTCACTATGGTTGAAAGGAAATTTGGGGTGAAGGTCCAGAAACTAAGGACAGATAATTCATTTGAACTAGGAAAATGCTCTCAACAGGCTGCTTTTCTTAGTTCCCAAGGGATTTTGTATCAAACATCTTGTGTAGCCACACCTCAACAGAATCAGATTGTTGAAGGAAGCACATGCATTTTCTAGAAATGGCAAGGGCTTTACTGTTTCAATCAAAGGTACCTATTCTATATTGGGGAGAATGTTTATTGATTGCCACTTATTTGATCAACAGGCTTCCCTCTAAGGTACTTCATGGCAAGACACCTTTTTCTATCTGGTTTAACCAATCACCTTCTTATGAAATACTTAAGAGTTTTGGATGTCTTTATTTTGCATCTACCCTGTCTGGTGGGATAAACAAATTTGAGCCAATGGTTAAGACTTGTGTTTTCTTAGGATATCCCATGGGTCAAAAGGGTTATAAAGTGCTAGAATTGGATACAAAGAGAGTTGTTGTATCCAGGGATGTTCACTTTCATGAAACCAAACTTCCTTTTGCCTCCAACACCTCATCTACAGATCTTATCTTCCCTACTTCTACACTAGTAGAAACAAGCTTTCCTGACCAACCTTTCCTTTACCTGAACCTAGTATTCCTCAAACACCCAGTCCTTCTATAACTCACTCACCATCTATCACTACTCTTCAATCCCCTCATTCCTCTGGTTCTCCTAGCTATGGGGAGCATCACACACCTACACCAGCAGTGAGAAAATCCACCAGAGTCACTAAATGGCCTAGTCATCTAAAGGATTTCATTTGTAACAACATATACCTAACAACCTTGACTACCTCATATTTTGTTCATCCTTCCCAACCTAATATTTTTTCTTTTAGAGCCTTTTCTAGTCATAATCAGCAGGTAATGCAGTCTATATTAGCAATCTCAGAGCCTAGTAGCTTCTCTGAAGCCTCTAAGCATCCAGGCTGGCAGCAAGCAATGCAATCAGAGATTGATGCTTTGGAAGTTAATCACACTTGAGATGTGGTTATCTTACCAAAGGAAAAGAAAGCTTTACCTTGTAAGTGGGTCACAAGGTAAATCATAATTTAGATGGGTCAGTTGAAGGGCTTAAAGCACGACTAGTGGTCGGGGAGATATTCAGCGAGAAGGCATAGACTACACTGAGACATTTTTCCCTGTAGTAAAGATGACCACTATACAATGCTTATTAGCCATTGCAGTCAAGAAAAACTGGTCTATTCATCAAATGGACGTCAATAATGCATTTCTACATGATACTTTGCAAGAACAGGTCTTTATGAAATTTTCAGTAGGTCTATCTCCACCTACTGACAACCATGTCTGTTTACTGAAGAAGTTACTATATGGTTAAAACAGGTGTCACAACAATGGTATGCCTGTTTTGCCGGTGCTTTAAGTTATAAAGGCTACTCATCATCTCTAAATGATTATTATTTATTCTTTAAAAGGAGGAATAACCTAATCTCAGTTGTATCAGTTTATGTAGACGACATAATCATTAGTGGAGATGACACAGAAGAAATTACTGACCTTAAATCTTTTCTCAACACTGAATTCAAAGTCAAGGACTTGGGAAACTTACATTACTTTATAGGCATGGAAATACTTAGAGAAAAACAGGGCATTATTATGTGTCAAAGGAAATTCACCATGAATTTATTGAAGGAATTTGGTGTCTCTGATCTCTCATGTGTTTCTTCGCCTCTAGAGCCTTCTGCCAAGTTGCATGCCGAATAAGGGCCTTTGCTCAGTGATCCCACCATTTATCGACACCTTGTGGGGAAGTTGAACTACTTAACCCATACAAGGCCCGATTTATCCTTTGCAATGTTGAAATTGAGTCAGTATATGCAGCAGCCCCGCTCTTCTCACTTCACAGCTACATTTCGAGTATTACGATACTTGAGATCAGACCCAGGATTAGGGATTCTTCTAAACTCAGATCCCTCACTTTCCTTGTTAGCATTTTGTGACGCCGACTGGGCTTCTTGTCCAAACAATTGAAGATCTGTAAGAGGCTTCTACATCACTCTTGGGGGATCTCCAATTTCTTGGAAATCAAAGAAACAAGCCTCTGTTTCTTATCATCAACTGAAGCAGAGTATCACTCCATGCGTAGAGTTGTTGCTGAGCTCACTTGGCTCATGCGTCTTCTCTCCGATATCTCTGTATCATCGTCTTTGCCGGTGCCGGTCTTCTCTAATAGTAAAGCATCCATCAACATTGCTCGAAACCCCGTCTTCTACAAAAGAATGAAGCATGTGGAACTCGATTGCCACTTCATTCGGCAACAGTTTCTTTTCGGACTAATTTCTCTTTCTTATGTTCCATCCTCGTCTCAACTCGCCGATCTATTCACCAAATCTCTCTCAGGTCCTTCACAGAGATCCGCCATTGGCAAGCTGGGGGTAATTTATTTACTCTCTACCTTGAGGGGGGGATGTTGAGAAGAAATCATTAATGGCGGTTGGTCTCTCTCATGAAGAAGAAGAGGGAAGGAAACTTCTAGGTTTTCAGACAAATGAAACTATTTCGGATACTTCTAAGTCAAAGACATATTTGGACTCCTCTTATTTGGTCTCTCCACGTGGTCTCATCTCAACGGTTATGCAAAAATATGATGGATTAAATAATGTCCATTCAGATGAGCAGCACCACAACTTATTTCACAACTGCACAATATTGGAACCCAATCTTAAAAATCTATCACATGGAACGTGTACATAGCAGAGAGAATTCTTTAGTTAATTTTTTTATTAGCTAGCAAATAGGATTTAGACACCTATATAGATGGTTACTTTTATTCTTTTATTTTTCATAGAATAGTTCTATATATACATTGTCTATGTACAAAATGAATACGTTGAAAATTTTCACAAGATTATTTCATTTCTTTTACTGTCTTTCAATTATATATATACACTACAAGTAATATGGTTTTCAGTGGAAACCTTTTCTGGCGACGAAAAGAGTTGTCACAATACTAAGGATTTTAGTGGTGACCTTGGATAGTTGCCACATTAAGTAACATATTAGTGGCGATAAAAAAAGAGCCACAAATAGGTGCAACTAAAATCAAATTTTTTCCTCACTTGAAAAATAAATTTTGGCTAAAAGATTCGTTTGTGGCGACTGATGAATTGTCGCCACTAATATGAGGTTGTTGTAGCGACTTGGAAGCCGCCCCTAGATATACCAATCTATTGTACAGCGAATTTGTCACTAATGCTTTTGGTTTTAAAATGAAAGGTTACAAAAACAAACCCTAGACAAACGAGAAAAAACACCGCCAAAATCATTTTCTACAATACACTTCTCAACAACGTTCCCTCGGCTGGGAACTTTTGGATCCTCTATCCCTTTGCTGTTACCCGGCGAACTCATCGACAATTCCTTTATCGGTAAATATTTTCGTCGGTTCCTCTCTCTCTATCTCTCTCTTCCCTTTTAGATTTCTTACCTTTAGCTCTGTTTTAACTGTGAATCTTAGCTCGTGCAAATATAAATAAGTTCTTCTATTCTATTTCTTCTTTGCCTTCTTGTATCTTGAAGTCTTTCAACTCTATAGTGAAAAAAGCCCCTTTCTAAAAGTTTTTGCTATTTTCTTAACCTAAATAAAAATGGCGAGAGCGGGACTAGATGAAAATTGGAAGGAGTAATTGACAATTATGGAGTACATTTGAGATTTTTCATGCTGGGTATGAGACAATATTTTTTTGGCAAAGCATGAGAAGATTTTATCAATATTTTCTTGACAAAGCATGAGAAGATTTTATCAATATTTTCTTGACAAAGCATGTGGACAAGTGGCCTTTCTATGATACTTTCCGAAGGAATGGAGTTCCTCTCAATTTGTTGCTCATAGCTGATGATTTTGCCTCTTAATTTTTGGGAGTATGTTGGTGGTATTAGAGCTCACTATCTGTTAAGTAAACTGGAGATCTCTATTTTGATTGGTAAAGTAAATTACGATATTTTGTATTGGAACATAAATTGGTTTCTACTTAAATTGAAATAACTTACTAGAGAAGGATGATGCTTAATTGAAATTGTTTTTGGTTCATTGTGCCCTATAACAGATCCTCATTTGGATGTGCATATGGTGTTTCCAATTACTCATGTCGTAAAATATTAAAAATTCTACACGCATGAAAATATTTTCCTAATGCTCAGTTATACGGACCATCGGTGATGATTGTCGAGTTTGAGCACATAGTACCTGATTTTAAGAAGCAGATGCTGATATCATCATCGTTTACTGTAAGCAATCTTCCACCATTAAATTATATTATAGAATAAATTAGAAAATGCCTTGGTTTGTTTGAGGCTCCCTTTATTACAATTGGTGTTGATTTCTGTTCACTTTTATTAAAATTTGAACTTGAAATCTGGTAAATCGAGCAATATTTAATTATCGTTTCATATACGAAAGAAATTATTTGCCAAATATTAAGATCTTGTATCTACATTCCATGAAACAATAGTCAATATGTAGTATCAACTAAAGATAAGATAATTTCTTTATTTTTGTTTTATTCTTTTTAATAGTCTACAAAATTCGAAACCTTGTCTGGAAAATCGTATGTTCAACCTTGCTTTTGTTCTTCTAGTTGGTGGCTTTATTAAGTTTTGTGTTAGCTCTTACTCTATTGTATTTGGGTGGAGATGCACTTTAATTTTTCTTGCCTCTTCCATGAGTGTTTTCCTTTTCATATGCTTGGCATAGTACAAATTTTTAACATAAAGTTACTCATTGATTTGAATATTTTGGCATAAGTTTATGATTTGAGAGAGAGTGATATGCAATTAAAGCTATTTTAAAAATGTACAACTGTGAATTTATTTTGCACAGTTAAGAAATGGAGGGGCAGATGCCAGGTGATAACAGTTCTAGGTCATTATCAAAATTATGATTTTTGACTTTGTCTCAAGTAAAAGATGACATTTTGTTGGTAACATACCAAAATATATTTTTTCTCTCTGCCCTAAGTGTATTAAGTCTTTCATTAAATAGAAATTGAAATTTTTCTTTCCTTACGACATAGTTAAGACTTTTCATGTTTTTAATGACTTAGATGAGTTTTGAGATAGGTTGACATGTGATTTCTTCCTTTCCTTCTGGTTTTTATTAATTACCATTTCCTTATGACATGTGATAAAGGAAATTCAACCATTTCCTTCTTGTATCTTGAAGTCAGTTATAGAAAAGTTGTTAGGCCAGGAGGAGTGCCTATTCTAGAACTAACTTCTAAGCTTTGAAATGGTTGAATTTCATAAAATGTCTTCTAATGAACTGACTATATCAATGCAATATGAGTTGCATATGCTTTATTATCTACTCTGAGCTCATGTTTTTCTATGACCTTTTTTTCCTTACATATTTAAATAGAAGTACATATTATATCACAACTAATGCTATTTGGCATGATTTCTGGTCTTAAACCAAAGAGAAAATACTACTCCAGTAGATTTCACTTTTTTATGCAAAATCCTTATTACAGAGAAGTACTTAACAAACCAGATTCATAGGAAAGGATCTTGGGAAGTTACTGGTATATGCTATTTTTTTCTTTAGTATCAAAATCTGTTAATAAAATTATTTTTGTTCACTGAACACCAGATATGTTTCAGTAAGTTTCATAATACACGGTAAAATTTAGCTTAAATTTCTTGCTTACTCTGTTGTTGATCACCATATAAAGGTTCCATTGCTGACAAGATAGCATAGTGTGAGTTTATAGCTTGAGATAAGAACTAGAAGGGAAATGCAATCAATGTTCCTTCTACTAGATATAACTGAATATGTTTCTGGATCTTTTGGATGCACAGACAATTTTATGTTCAAAACTTAATATTACTTATTCCACTAGGCTTACAGTGGAAATTCAGTCAAACTTGAAAAAGTCTTTTACACCTTCGAGAAAGCGTATCGGAAGACCCAACTTTCGCTTAAAATCCCAGTTTGGATGAGCATAAATTTTTTGAAAGATATTCACTTGCCATAGTTCTCTGTGGTTGTAGTAGACATTTCCTTTTTATATGCTTTCATTTAGTACTTGGCTTAGGATCAACTCTTTTTTGTATGCATGCATATATTACTGTTATTCTTTGTTTTTTTAATAGAAAGGAGATAGTACTTCAACAATGGGGAAATGAAGTTGCTCAAGGGGTGGCCTGAAGACATTAGAGTAACTTGAACATATTGGAATAGTTTGAAGACGTATTCCTTTGGTTTTTTTTTCATAAAATAGAGAAGGGATAAGGTTATTTAATAAGTAGGAGTTCGAACACATTTGATGTTCTTTTTCCATGTGTATATGCAATGACAATGTATTTATGGAGCGTAATGTAATTTGTTGCAGACTATTTGGTAATGAAAAGTTTCTATACAATTTTATTTAAGAGTATCTGTGGTGTTCATTATAATGATAATGCTATCGGCAAATTAGCAGGAATACTATTGGGTATTGCATTATTATCATTTTTGTAAAAAAGAAAGAGGCTTTAGTGGCGACTCTAGCTGCCACAAAAAGAAAATCTTACCGTGGCAACAAGAAAAACGTCACTGAATGTCATTTCTAGCGACTACAGTCTCCACTATATGTCATTATTTAGTAACGACCCACCTAAATTCAATTTTGTGAAACATGTTTTTGAGGCGACCTCAGTCGCTACACTGTGTACTATTAGAGTCGCCACACTAATCGTTCAGTAACGGTAGTGCTTGGAGCGAGCCCATAGTCGCTGCTAAAAACATGTAGTGGCGAATTTCTTACCATTTGTGGCGACATTAGCTGCCACAAAAAGGCCGATTTCTTGTAGTGATAATGTTTATCATCCGTGTGCTTTCGAATAAATTATACTTCATATCCGTATACGAGTAATAAATTATAATAAAGGTAGAATGTTTGTCTGAAAGTTCAACCCTTTCTTAAGTAAGTGTTGACGTAAGATTAATTTACAAGGACTATTATTTAATTAGGTTGATGCAACTAACAAAATTTTTAATGTGTCGCTTAGTGACTTCGTGAGTCAATTTGGCTATGATGCTGTATATTCTACATTTGAGGTATGGTTTAAAGAGTGTGTAAGTGCAGCTTACATACTTTCTCACATGTGAATATACATATTTGGTCACTTTTGAATATACTTGCTCATTTGTGATTTTTTTAACACTACATGTAGGTCAATAATCCAAACAACGATGTTAATCAATTTTTGAAAGATATATCTTGGGGACCTATACCTACGGTTACAACTATGTCTAAGTATGTTGTGAATGGTTACAAATTTCACACCGAAGAATGCTCCAAGTATAAAAAAAGCAATAACAGTGGTGTGTGTGTTAAAGATGGTGAAGGCAACCAAGATAGGGAAAATGATTATTGCGGTGTGATCGAAAAGATTCTAGAATTATCATATTCAGGTTGGCCAAATAAGAAGATCATACTTTTCCTTTGCAAGTGGTTTGACCCAACACCTAGAAGAGGTACAAATGTATACTCGCAGTACAACATAATTGAGGTTAATAAAAAGAGGGAGTATGATCGCTTTGATCCTTTTATAATTGCAGAAAATATTAGGCAAGTGTATTATGCTTCATATCCATTACTGAGGGATAAGGCTGATTGGTTGGTTGTAATCAAAACTAAGCCTGTTGGTAGGGTGAAAGTTGAGAACGTGCTAGATGTTGCTTATAAAAACGATACCTCAAGTGTTAACCAAATGGTGGATGATCAGTAAGAAAATGACTTGGAGCATCCTCAACGCATATTAGAAGACGACTAGCATGTTAGTTTTTTTCAAGCGCTCTCAACATATATAGATTATATTCTCAATTCTAACATTTTCTTTAATTTATACAGATGACCGATAGGGGTCTAGGTAGGTCTAGGAAGGATAAGAGGTTTATTGATCATGAGGATAGCGCTACACCCTCGCTTCCTTCCACTCCACACTTGTATCCCTCCACTGCTGATGGCCGACAGCAATCTTCTAGGCACACATATTTTTTACCACATCCATCTACTCATCAAACTACCTACTATTAGCTCCCCAATAGTATTCTTACCATTCTCCACCACAGGGCTATACCCCACTTCATCCACATAATCTTGCATATAGTTATATGGGTACACCAAGTCAGCAGTCACACGTCCATGTGGTTATATGCCCGTCATCTGCTCCATTTGCTTCACCACCAGCTGGATCGCACCCATCTAGATTTCAGCCACCCGAATCGTAGCAGGGTCTGGATTGCAGTAGTGGTCTAGATCGCAGCAGGGGTCTAGATCGCATCCATCTTCATCAGCGACCTCGTCTCCCTCTCCACGGAGTTCGTCTTCTAACATTTCTAGACTTCGCCTTCGGGATAGTAGCGTTGAGCCAGATGCCTCCCCTTCTATACATGCTTCAGATTCACCGGCGGATGATGATCCAGAGGAAGTGCGGTATGATCATTATTATAGGATGATCAACAGGCCTGAGGGCAATGGGTAAGGTTTATTTATTATTTTTTTGTTTTTGCTGAATTATAATAGCTAGTCTTATTTATTTAATGTAATTGCTATATTGAAGGTTTATACCTAGTCATCAGACTACAAAGATAATCACTGAAGCTCTTGGCTAGTTGTATGATGCACCCTATTCGACTTGGAGTGAATTTCCACCGGAGCTCGTGGAGCAAATTTTCTACTAATTTAAGTTTTTAATACAATTATTATCTATTTAAGCATTATATTAACAATATTTTCATCTAATGTTACACACTTCATTTGCAGACTAAGTGTGACTAGGAGGACCGACATAACAGTATCATTCTTGAAAAGTTTGAGTTCAAATGTCGTAAGATGTCCACCGAGGTTTGAAATGCCTAGGAGGACTGAATTACTTCTTTCTTTGTAATGCAAATTTTGAGTTCAAGTCCACCGAGGTTTTATGACGTGCAATGTCACCACCCCAATAATGATTTACTTTCTGCCCATTTACCAAGAAGGTACTACTTGAGCTCGTATCACGTAATTCCACCACTCCATGAGGCCTCACACTTACCACCACGAAAGGAACTGCCCATCGAGACTTAAGCTTCCCGAGAAAAAGCTTCAACCTCGAATTAAATAAGAGAACCACTTGACCTGGCTCAAACTCGCGATGGTGGATGTGCTTGTCATGCCACCTCTTGGTCTTTTCTTTATACAAATTGACATTTTCATACGCATGCAACCAAAACTCATCAAGCTCGTTGAGTTGTAACAACCTCTTCTCGCCGGCTAAGTCCATATCAATATTTAGCTTTTTAATCGCCCAATAGGCTTTCTGTTAAATCTCGACGGGCAAGTGGCATGCTTTCCCATAAACCAAATTTTACGGAGAAGTACCTATGGGGGTCTTGTATGCTGTTTGATATGCCCATAATGCATCGTCAAGTTTCCCGGCCTAGTCCTTCCTATTTCTACTTACCGTTTTCTCCAGAATCTGCATCACCTCTATGTTTGACACTTTCACTTGACCACTCATTTGGGGATGATAGGCGCTGGAAACCTTGTGCTTAACTCCCTACTTTGCTGAATGTTATTCAATAATTTGTTATAGAAGTGAGTTCCTCCGTCACTTGTCAGCACCCTTGGAGTCCCAAAGCGTGTGAAGATGTGCTTCTTTACAAAGTTTACCACTACCTTTGCACCGTTAGTAGGAAGAGAAATGGCCTCCACCCACTTAGACACATAGTCGACCGCTAACAAGATGTACCTGTGACCATTAGAGTATGGAAGTGGTCCCATGAAATCAATCCCCGGAACATCAAAGAGCTCTACCGCCAGAATATTTTGCAAAGGCATCTCGTGCTTCTTCGTAATTGTTCCGGTACTTTTGCACCTGTCACATTTTTTAACAAAGGCGTGTGCATCCTTAAACAATGTTGGCCAATAGAAACCCGATTGCAGCACTTTTTGGTCGGTTCTATCCCCATCACGATGACCTCCATATGGAGACGAATGACAGTCATGCAATATTGCATTCATCTCCTCCTCAGGGACACACCTTCGTACCAACTGATCTGCGCATAAATTATATAGGAATGGCTCATCCCACATGTAGAGCCTCACATCATGTAGAAATCTTCTTCTATTATCGAGTGTCAATTCTGGTGACGTCACCCCACTTGCAATAAAATAACATAGTCTGCATACCACGGGGCTTAACTTGAGGTGATTGCCAATAACTGCTCATCCGGAAATATCTTCTTAATCGAACCTCCCTCAGCCACATGGTTTCGATTTTCTAATCTGGACAAGTGATCGGCCACATGATTCTCTGTTCCTTTTCGATCTCGGATCTTCAAGTCAAATTCTTGCAAGCGGAGGACCCATCGAATTAGCCTCGACTTGGCGTCTCTCTTTTCAAACAAGTACCTTATAGATGGGTGATCTGTGTAGACGATGACTTTGGTTCCCACTAGATAGGATATGAACTTGTCAAACGCCCACACCACTGCAAGCAACTCTTTTTCTATAACAGTGTAGTTCATCTTAGCTGGATTCAGAGTTTTGTTGGCGTAATAAATAGAGTGAAACATTTTATTCCTCATTTGCCCCAACACAGCTCTGATTTCTATGTCACTCGCATTGCACATCAACTCAAATGGTTGCTCCCAATACGAGGCAATGATAATTGGCGCAATCACCAATCTTCCTTTCAACTCCTCAAATGCTTTCAGACAAGCATCATCAAACATGGAGGGGATATCTTTCTCAAGAAGCCTGCACAGAGGAGAAGAAATCTTTGAAAAATCTTTAATGAAATGGTGATAAAAACCTGCATGGCACAAGCAAATGTGAATGCCCTTGACGGATGTCGGTGGAGGCAATTTTTCAATCGCCTCCACCTTTGCTTTGTCCACCTGCAAACCATTTTTGGATACCTTGTGTCCCAAGACTATACCTTCTCGTACCATAAAATGATACTTTTTCCACTTTAGCTCCAAGTTTGTCTCTTCACACCTAGCAAGTACTTTATCAAAGTTCATTAAACAATTATCAAAAGAACACCCAAACACATAAAAATCATCCATGAACACCTCTACAAATCTTTCAACCATGTCAGTAAAAAAAGTCATCATACACCTTTAAAAAGTCGCAGGTGCATTACAGAGACCAAAGGGCATTCTCTTAAACCCATACGTTCTATAGGGACACGTAAATATAGTTTTCTCTTGTTCCTCTAGATTATAGCAATCTCATTATATCCCGAATAGCCATCTAGAAAATAGTAGTATTCCTGTCCAGCTAATCTATCAAGCATTTGATCAATAAAGGGGAGGGAAAAATGGTCCTTTCGGGTGGCATTGTTTAATTTTCTATAATCTATGCAAATTCTCCACCAAGTCACAGTTCTTGTGGGAATCAGG